TTTGTATATACAAACTGAGCGAATTCAAGACGAGTACATGTCAAATTTAGCAGAAGGACAAACTTGATAATTAAAATTAATAATTGTTTATGCATGTTTGGAAATATGACAAATAAGCACATTGTAAGCATGTTTAGGAAAATGGAAAACTTTTGCAAATAAAATTAAGATTATTTTATGTCTGTTTAGAAGCATGGCAAACTTTGCAATTATTAATATTATTGTACATGAGTGTAGAAATATTGCACACATTGTAATTCGATGTTAGTACATCGTACACAGATATATCAGTATATAACAGGCTTTGAAATTCACAATTAATTTCCATATATATATATAGATATATATGTACACATATTTATGTGGGTGAATCAATTTCGTTCGAATGCTAATTTTCGTCCAGTAATAAGGTTTAAACATAACACAATCTTAACGATATCTTCAGCTAATTTTAAACAACTTTGTATTGTGCATCTTCAGCAATGCCAACGAACTATAGATCTCTATTCTTAGTTCTTATGGTGTTACAAACAGGATGAATACGTTCAGAAAAAGTGGGTGTTGGCTTCTGACTTTCATGCTCTTAAAATAATCACTTCCTCTTTTGCTCGAGCTTCGTAACATGTATGGTTAATATTCTTTCAAGGCAAGTGGTTGAAAGTCACGCCACAAAAGACTATTAAAAGCAACAAACACTGCAAGTCTTCGTACTTCTGTGTTTAGCCTAAAAGTGTTTTAACAAAATTTGATTCATTACTGTCGTTACAGTTTTTGCTTGCGTGATGTCTAATCACTTCTAAAGACATTTTAAGATTTCCGAAACCTTTCCATGTGTGATTCGACAACGAGCAAAAATGTGTATAACTAGATCACAGGTAATCTGGATAAAAATGACATTAACATGGGCTACTTTTCCTCTAAGTAGTACAACATCTTCAATATAACTTTAAACCACACTACTCATGGTGTTACAGGTAGAATGGTAATCATGCTATATCGTGATATAAATAATGCCTCAACCACTACTGTCTGTCATACCCTAGTCGACCTGTTGAGCCATATTAATGGATATGACAGATGTAGAGTGGTTGACATATTATAACATATTCTTCTTCTTTACGTTCACTTATGGATTTTTGGAATAAATAATTTATATTGTAGTCCAGTGCCCTTTGTACAAATTGTAATTTTTTATACAATAATATAATTCCTTTAGCAGGGAATTTGATATTGCCAATCATAAGTTTGCTTATATATGAATTGCAATAAATTGAACGAGCTCGCTATAAATAACAAAAAAAGAAAAGAAAGTATATCTTACATGTCATACTTACGAAGTAGTTCCCTAGTGGGACAGTGGTAAATCTACTGACTTACAACACTACAATCCGGGGTTCATTTCCACGCGGTGGACACAACATATTGGCCACTGTGGCTTTACTCTAAAACAAATAACAAAGCTTATGCTTCGTTAGGAATGTTTATAGTGATGCACCAGAGATAATGTTTCCTTGGCTAGATGTTTTGAATATCTTGCCACATATATTTATTACCATGTTTGTACTTATGCTGTCTGTCATTTATTGGTAAATTAAACATCTATGTGTGTGTGTAGGTATAATTTCTCAAAGTTTCAGCGTTCGTTTTTTCATTAATATCTATTTGTTTAAAGAATAAACCATCACGATTTGGCCAAACATATAGTTGTGCAAAATTAATATAGTTTTGTTTTTATATTGTTTGTAATAGTTCTTTTTTAAGTGTTTGTTGTTAATTGTTTTTTCTCCTTTCACGCAGAATTCCATTCGCCACAACTTATCCCTTCACAATCGCTTCATGAGGGTGCAGAACGAGGGCACGGGAAAGAGTTCATGGTGGATGATCAACCCCGATGCCAAGCCTGGGAAGGCTGCTCGACGAAGAGCTACCAGCATGGAAACTCAGAAGTACGAAAAGAAGCGTGGTCGGGTTAAGAAGAAGGTGGAAGCGTTACGCAACGGACTAGAACCTACATCCAGCCCTAGCTCCTCTATCTCTGAAAGCCTAGACATTTTCCCTGAGTCGCCTGTACATCACGGCTTTCAGCTCAGTTCAGATTTCCGTCCTCGTGCGTCTTCCAATGCCAGTTCTTGCAGTCGGCTTTCCCCTATACCAGCTGTGGAGACTGACATGCATGACAGCCAGGTGCCGCCACTATCGCCCATACCTTGGAACTCTGATTTGAATAACTCTGGTACCTTGGGACTTTATGGACCACCCCCTGGAAGAATGGACAGGTACGGAACGGATCAGCTAGTAGGTTCATTGGCCGAAACAATGAAGCTGGGATCAGGGGAAAGGTCTTATCTGGTAGATTGTGGTTTGAGGGCCAGCCCGACTGGCCAGATGTCCAGTGGACTTAACAATAACAGTTACAATCTTGGAAGCTACGGGTATGATTACCATGGCTCCTACCACACATCGGACAGTGACAGCCCTACTCTAACACCACTCCAGCCTCAGCAACGAAGTCCTCAACATTTATTGAATGGGGCGTCTTATACCCTAACCAACCTTCAAACTTTATCTCCCGCCCATACCAACCAGTCCTTGTCACCCAGTCACAACTTGGACCAGTTGGTGCAGCAGCACAATTCCTTTGGAATAGTCCCAAGCAGACAAACCATCCCAAACAGCTACTGTCTTCCCTTGGTTAGGGAATATCCCATGCGGGCTTCAATGGCTCAAAAAGAAAGCATCAACACCACAGCGACCTCTCTGGGTAACACCGCAAGTGAAGTATTAGACCATCTTCTCACTCTCAACAACGCTTTGCCAAATGACCTTGACTTGAACTTTGACATGATTCAAGGGGGGTTGGAATGTGATGTAGATCAAGTCATTCGACACGAATTGAGTGTAGATGGAAATTTGGACTTTAATTTTGATCCCATGAACACCAATTCGACTGGGGTTCCTCCTCGTACAACAATGACGACATCTAGGGTCACACGTCCTTGGGTACACTGAATTAAAAAAAAAGTTAACTAGATCTAGTGACATTGGCCTCTGGTGCCCAAAATGTTCTTAGGCGCACATGTTGCTCTAATTCTTTGTTTACGAAAAAAAATCAAACTGTTTGTTGGAGAATAACAGAAGAAATGTTGTTTGGTATATCGTTTTAATATACAGAGATGAAAAAAAGCCTATAATATGATCGTTTGTTCCAGGGTTTGAACCCGCTAAACCAGTGAGTGTGTGTGTGTATGTCCCTGTGAGCTTTATTGTTATTACGCTTGTTGTAGAAAACATTCATGTTACATGTCTCCCACATCGGGGCTGTTGGTGTTCCTGTTGTACATAACATGATACTAAAATGTCAAAACGGGCATATAATGTCACTACATTATAAGAAAAACTTATTAAACACAAAAACAAAGTCACACTATAACAGTGTAATATGATGTAGTTTGGTTAAATTAACCAAGTATTTGTGGGCTGAGTAAAATCGGATTCTAGAAAGCCCCAACTTACATATTCTTTATATATATATAAACTTAATTATGTTCACATAAAATATTTGCGCTGTGTTTCTCCATTATTCAATTACCCAACTTCCCAGTAGAGAAAAAAAAAGACACTAGTGTTGCTGTGTATTTGGTGTTCAATTCATGGCTTAAGAACGTAAATCATGTTCAATATTTCATTTTTAAATGGTGTTGCATTTCTTTCTCAAGCTTTATTTCAAATAGATATTCCCACTGTAACAGATATTAGTTAAATGACAAAATATTATGTTGTATCGTGGTTGTGGTTTTGTCGGTGTAGTTGATATTAAGAATTTGAAGAAGGATGAAATTCTGCCCTGTCTCAGATACAGGGCAGAGAAAGTTATATATCATCTACTTGCGTATGAAACATTTCTGATTATTTGACTCAGCGGTAAAGAAATCTTACATATTAATGTTTGTACTTATGGACAAAAAGATTATAAACGTTTTTGAACAGTTGTGAAAATGTCACTCAGTTATACGTGAATAAACACAATGTCAATTGTTATTAATGCATTAAATGGTTTCATGTGTTTTGTCTTTGTTTTTTAAGCTTCTTTCAACCACTATATGAACAAGACAATCTTTAGGCTCGTGTCATGTGGAAAATTTGAAAGAGAATTTGGTTAAAGAAGTGTGAAGAAACCCGGCAAATAAATTTTCATTTGAGTAAAAAACGGATGAATGGAAAAATGCCTATGTTATGATCATTTGCAAACCAAACCGAAATCTAACCTGAATTTAAAAAACATGTACGACAGTTTTTAATTTGAATAAGTCATGAAAAATTGTATTCACTTGTTTGGTCATCACTAGGTCAGACGAAAAAAATATCGTATAATGTGAAAATGTTACCAACATGTACATTTAAATATTCGTAATTTCGTCATCTATAGTATATGAAACTTCCACACACAAAAAGTATAATTTTTTATTCATACTTCTATAACATTTTTTTTAAAATTTGTGTACTAACATCTAGAATATGAAATTTGATCTTTGAATATAGAAATTAGTGATAACCATGACATTTTGCTTATGTAGACACCCTTTCTCTAAATATTTATCCTGTATAATATAAGATCTGTTACAAGTGGTTCTTCGATTAACCTCGAGCAAGAACAGCTGAAAGTAAGGAAATGCATGATTCCTGTTGTCATCTTATTAGTGCTCATATACTTAGTGGCGAATGTGCCAAACTACAAATTATTCTTAATTCCGTAAAAACAAACTTGTAAGACATCAACTACGAATATACTTCTCAAATTTATCAAAAACCACGTTGTATTAATTACCTAATATCGTCTTATATTGATTTCATAAATTTGCTCAAAAAAGTTAAATAAAAAGATCTGAATTCTAATAAGATATATCTCCTACAAAGACAAACATTTTCATGATTTTCATTCGTGATACATACTAAAATTTAATCATATACTCTCTACATGCAAAGATAACCTAATTCATGACGTTTTGAAACACAAATTTAATTATGATTTTGTATCTGACCTATAATATTAAATACTCTCTCTCTCTCCTTACAATGAAACAATTATCCACCAATACTTACACATATGTGATTTTATGCTTTTATTTTTGAACTTTATGTAATATAAAAAGTAGATACGCGGTCAAAGTTTGGCTTCTGATTATTTAAGAGACAACTCACGTGGTAAATGAAAAGTCGCAAATAATATATATATAGCTAACACTTATGTCGTTTTGCTGAATGAGATCTTGCTTCACTACAATAGAAATAAAATGGTAAGGTAGGATATAAAATTTCGTCTTTGTCATTAGCTTTCTTAAATTTAAAACAAGAACAATGCTAATTTGATCAACAATTTTTGTCTGTTAGATCTTCCGATAGGTTTTGTCTTATTGAATTTCCTTAATTTTTGGAAAGTTACAAATGAATTAAATGTTCGTAAAGAAGATATGTAAAATTAGTTTTTCTATATCAAAATATATTTTGATTACATCTCTCTTCAATATAAATAACAGAATTTTAGTAATTTTATGCCATTTAAAAAACATTTAAAAGCAGTCAATAAGATTCCAAGCAAATTTCTTCAAACACTGCGATTAGCTAATTCGCATAGTCAAACTCTTAACGTTTGGAAACTCACTTCAAGATTCTAAACAACCGATCCTAAAATGCTATACGCTCAGATAACGAATGAGATGGTAATTGTAATGTCTGCAAAATGTAAAAATAGAAAACCCAGTTCTAAAAACCAATTAACATTGCGCAAACCCAACTTAACAACATAATAATCGTTAAATAATCGTTAACTCTAATATATAACATAAATATCACCCAAGGAACAAAAAATTGAAAAACAAATGTAAAAAAGAAACATATATAAATATCTGTACAAGGAACCCGCCCGATAAGAAAGCATTTACAAAATGTAAACTGATCTGGCTTTTTATCTAGGAGAAACAGGCGTAAATCAAACATACGAATAAAATAACACCAGAACCTTCCCGCACAGGTACATAACCATAGGTAAATCAATAAACATAAATTTATTGAACATAATGTAAACATCTTTAAACATGAGCCAAACATAAACAAAAAATAAATAAATGCTAAGCCCTTTAAAATCATTTTACATTGACCTTCAATTACTAAATATCCAGTCACGCACCTCTTTACTTATTTTCACGTTTATGTCTACATTTATTATATCCAGGCTCGCTTCTTTAACTATTTTCACGTCTATATCCACACTTACTATATCCAAGTTCGCTTCTTTAACTATTTTTACGTCTATATCCTCGTCCAGTCACGTCTTTTTACTTATTTTCATGTATATATCCTCACGTCCTATATTCGTGCGCTCTTCTTTGCCTATATTCGCGTCTGTGTCTTCACTTCCTATATCCAGGTACGCCTCTTTATCTATTTTCACGTCTATATCCCAACATCCTATATCGAAGCAAGTCTCTTTATTTATCTTCACCTTTATATTCTAACGTTCTATTTCCAGGCACGCCTTTTTACTTATTTTATTGTCAATATCCTTACGTCCTATTTCCAGGCACGCCTTTTTACTTATTTTATTGTCAATATCCTTACGTCCTATTTCAAGACTTGCCTTTTTACTTATATTGACGTCTATATCGTCACGTCCTATATCCAGGCACACCTTTTTACTTATCTTCTTGTCAATGTCCTACGTCTTATTTCCAGACTCGCCTTTTTACTTAATTTGACGTCTATATCTAGGCACGCATCTTTATATATTTCCACGTCTACATTCTCACGTCCTATAGCAATGCACGCTTCTTTACTTATTTTCTCGTCTATATCCTCACGTCTTAAATCGAGACATGCCTCTTTACTTACTTTCATGTCTATATCGTCACGACCTATATACAGTTACGCTTATTTACTTATTTCCACGTTTATATCCTCACATACTATATCCAGGCTCACTTCTTTACCTATTATCAGGTGTATATCCTCACCTACCATATCAACGAACGCCTTTTTAATTATTCCCATATATATATATCCTCACGTCCTATATCCAGCCATGCTTCCTTACCTATTTGTGTGTCTATATCATTGCGCACAATATCAAGGCACGCTTTTTTACTTGTTTTCACGTCTATATCTTCACGTCCTACAACCAGGCACGCCTTTTTTCTTACTTGTACGTCTATATCCTCACGTCTCATATCCAGGCAAGTCTCTTTACTTATTGTCACCTTCATATCCAAACAACCCATTTCCAGGAACGCCTTTTTATGTATTTTCTTTATATATCCTCACGTCATATATACCCAGGCACGTCTCTTTACTTATTTTCATGGCTATTTCCTCACGTCATATATCGAGGCACATCTATTTACTTATTTTCATATTTGTAACCTAACGTCTTATATACAGGCACGCCTATTTACTTATTTTTTTCGTCTGTGTTCTCTTCTCCTATAATATAACATAATGGGACCTATTGTCCATCTTGGTCGTCCCATCCTTTAACTAAACTAAAACTATTAAACAAATGAATTAATTCATATAGTTATCAAGCTTAATTTTAAATGCACTTTAATTTACTGCTTCAACAACATCCGAAGGTAAGTTAAAATCATATTTGCCCTACCACTAGCAACAGCACACTGCTTGGATGGCTTAAGAGTGATCAACCCTTACACCAAGATCATTTTCTTTCATGACACTGTTGAGGTTATTCCCATACAGATTATACTTACGATTTAAATTATAACCTACATGCATTATCTTGTATTTATTATAATTAAAACCCATCTGCCATTTACTTGCCCAACTCACTAAATGATCTAAATCCTTTTGTAAAGCAGCAGTATCCTCTTCAGAGTTAGCAACACCCAATACCTTAATATCATCAGCAAATTTAAGTAATTTATTAACTATTCCTTCATCTATGTCAATGATGTAAATCAAGAAGAGTAAAGGTCCTAAGACTGAGTCCTGAGGTACCCCACTTGTAACATCAATTCAGTTTGACAGAACTCCATTTATAACAACCTTTGCTTTCTTCCATCCAGCCACCCTTCTATTCAATTAGCTAATTTCTCCCCATACCTATGTCACCTTGTCACTTTATGTGTCACCTTGTCAAATGCTTTGTGAAAATCCACATACACCAAATCTACACCACTACTCTCATCTAAATAAGCAGTAGCCTTTTCAAAAAATGTCAAAAAAATTTTTATGCAAGATTTTTTCTTTAGTGAAACCATGTTGACTATCCAATAAAATTCTAAACTTTGTTAAATGACTTTGCAAAACATCTTTTATCAGACTTTCCAAAACTTTTCCCACACGTTATGTAAAACTAATAGGTCTATAATTACTAGGATAATTTTCATTACCTCCTTTGAAAAGTGGAGTGACATCAGCTAACTTCAAATAATTTGGCATCTGCCCGCTTTTCAATGACTCACATATCCAATCCTTAACCTCCTTCAAAACCCTTGGGGAAATATTATCTGGGTCAGGAGCCTTATTTTTCTTTAAACTTCCTAATTTTTTATTAAAAAGCTCAGAATTAATGAAATTATCTTGTTCGACCTTGTTTCCATCTATCAACTGTTTAAGATGTGTAATATTGCTTAAATCTTCATCAGTAAAAACTGAAGAAAATCCAGAATTTAATAACCCAGCAATCTCATAATCATCAGTTACAAGCCTTCCTTTATCATCCCTCAAGGGCCGTTCCCTCATCCTAACATACTAAATGCTATTGCCAACACTGTTTAGCCAAACGTTTGGTAATAAATTAGTTTATCACTATTTTATGTTCACACTAAAGTAATTAAGTTTATCTTTAATTTTTAAAGAAGTGACAAATAACTACTGAACTAGTCTTTACTTTATTTGGCGTTTACATAATACTAATAATACAAGACAATTTACTAATATTAATAGTAATTTAGCCTGTTTATAACCTACCTATAACTTATAAGCTGAATTTAAACTAATAGACCTAAAGTCAAGTAAACAAGTTAATCCTTAAAACACGAA